ACATATACACAATAGAATATTATTCAACCGTAAGAAGAATGAAATTCTGTCACTTACAACAACATGGATGGAACTTGATATCATTATGTTAAGTGAAATGAGCCAGGCACAGGAAGACAAACATCACATGCTCTTAGTCATATGTGGGAGCTAAAAAAGAGGATCTCATGGAAGTAGAAAGTTGATTAGTGTTTATAGGAGGCTTTGAAGGGAAGGGAGGCAGGGGAGAAGAGATTTGGTTAGAATACAAAAATACAGTTAAATAAGATCTAGTGTCTGATAGTACAGTAGACTGACTAAGGTTAACAATATTGTGTAGTTTAAAATATCTAGAAAGGAGGAAATGTGATGCTTCCAACACAAAGAAAAGATAAATGTTTGAGGTACTGGATACCCCAGTTATCTTGATTTAGTCATTACACATTGTATACATAGATCAAAATATTACATTCATCGTAAAAATATATACAACTATTATGTATCAATGAAAAATACTAAGTTGGCCCTCTTCTAAATTAACTATTCTAATTTAGATATTATACCTGAAATTAAAATTTTTCTTAATGAGCTTGGATGAAAATGGCCTATTTAATTCATATTACTTTTGATATCTATGGATATATCATAAAAATGATAAATCATAATTTGTTGATTAATACTTTATTCTAGTTATAACTCAGTAAAACGGACAGATACTTATTTGATCAGAGATACAACTTTATTTCGCAAATATGTTTTAACACTAGAAATCTGAGCTCAGCCAATTCATTACCTGATATCTTTGAATATGATGTAAAGCTCAATTTTAAACACAAATTTGAAAATAAATTTAAATTTTAAACTAAGCACATTTAAACAAAAAATGGGACCCAATTAAACCAAAAAGCGTCTACACAACAAAAGAAATAACCCACAAAATGGGAGAAAATATTTGCAGATTAGGGCTAGTATCCAGAATCTACAAAGAACTTAAAGAAATAAGCAAGAAAAGCCAAATAATCCCATCAAAAAGTAGGCAAAGAACATGAATAGACATTTGGCAAAGGAAGATAGGCAGATAGCCAACAAACATAAAATAGTGTTCAGCATCACTAATCATTAGGGAAATAAAAGTTAAAAACACAGCCAGATACTACCTTACTCTTGCAAGAATGGCCATAATTAAAAAGTCAGAAAAACAATAGAAGTTGGTAGGAATATGGTGTAAAGGGAATACTTTTACACTGCTGGTGGGACTGTAAATTAGCACAACTGCTCTAGATAACAGTATGGAGATTCCTTAAAAAAACTAAAAGCAGATCTGTCATTAGATCCATCAGTCTCCCACTACTGGGTGTCTACCCAAAGGAAAATAAGTCATTATATGAAAAAGACACATGCACACATGTTTATAGTGGCACAATTTGCATTTGCAAAGTCAATGAATGGATAAATAAAATGTAGTATATGTGCACCATGGAATACTATTCAACCATAAAAAAGAAGGAAATAATGTCTTTTGTGGCAACTTGGATGGAACTGGAAGCCATTATTCTAAGCGAAGTAACTAGGGAATGGAAAACCCATGTGTTCTCACTTGTAAATGGGAGCTAAGCTATTTGGATGCCAAAACATACAAAGTGAAATAATGGACTGTGGGGACTGGTGGAGGGAAGTTTGGAGGGGAGTGAATGATAAAATGCAACACACTGGAAAGCGTACACTACTTGGATCATGAGTGCACTAAAGTCTCAGAATTCACCGCTAAAGTCTTAATCAAAAACCACCTGTATCCCAAAAACTATTGAAATAAAAGTAAAAAAGAAAAACATAAATCACAATAAGACATTTAACAAAATATTTAGTTTATTAAAATGAATACATTTTTTAAAACTTAAATAAAAATAATGTGTAGTGAGGATCTTAGTATTTTCCAAAGGCAATTTTGTAAACATACAGATTATTCTTTTCTGATATAGGTATTAGTTGGTGGTAATAGTAGAAAATACAAATGATCAGTAAGTCAGTTTTAAAAATAGACATTTTTCACTGTTGTCATAAATCTCATTGATAAAGAAGAATGAATGTATATTACATATATTATTAGAAAATATCAATAAAATTTGAGCCAAAGAACAAATGAAATTCTAAGTGATTGGTGCAAGAGTAAAAGGAAGTAGAATTGATGATCCTATCAATCTTTTTTTTTCTTTTTACCCTTTGAAAGGAAATGCTTTACAGGAAAAGAAGTTTCAGAATATCTTTTTTTATTTCCTTAGGCGTTAAGAAATGAAATTTTTGTCTTTTCACGGTTGTCTTTGACATTAACTTGGAGAAGTCTGTTTTCTAAATTCTGCATTTTAGATCCAGGTATTGGTGTTTTTTGAGGCCTCCTTCTGTTGCCCAGGCTGGAGTGCAGTGGTACAATCTCGGCTCACTGCAAACTCTGCCTCCTGGGTTCAAGCGATTCTCCTGCCTCAGCCTCCTGAGCAGTTGGGATTACAGGTGCATGCCACCATGCCCAGCTATTTTTTTTTTTTTTGTATTTTTGGCAGAGACAGGGTTTCACCTTGCTAGCCAGGCTGGCCTCGAACTCTTGGCCTCATGATCCACCCACCTCAGCCTCCCAAAGTACTGGTATTATAGGCGTGAGCCACTGCACCTGGCCTATTTTACCTTTTAAATGCTAAAATATTTTATTTTAAAAAGAATCACTGGAATTGTTTAATATTGCAACAATCTGCCTTGAGAACAACTTTGGATTGTGTATATAATTTTACAATTATATCTGTTTCTCATTTGATTCACACCATAACCCTTTGAAACTGGCACTAAGATGTAATCTCTTAATTCTATTTTCATAATATCTGAAAGAGAGACAGAGGTTATTTATTTTGCTCAAGGTAACCAAGTTAGTAAGTACTAGGGAGATGGGACTTCAGATCTGGTTCTTACCTGCTTTTGTTATTCATAGGTATTGAATTCTTATTACCTTATTCAAGTTATTTATTTATGTTGGAATGGAAGACCCTATGTAACAACCATTGCTTGGCAGGAAAATGGGGAGAAGCATGTGCATTGGATAACCTTCAAGTTTCCTTCTGATTTTCTCATTCTTTTTCAAAGATGATTAGCTATAAGCATTTCACTTTTAAAGTGAAATTTATTTTTACTCAGGACAAGTGCTAATAGTGGTATACTGCTTTACTATTTATCAAGTGAATTCTTTTTTATGATCTTGTTTAATGCTATTGCCAGTTTTGAGTAGACATTTTTATTACAGTATCTCCTAAGGAAAAGAAAAGGAAAATGAGACTAAGTACAGTCATGTGTTGCTTAATGACAGGAATACATCCTGAGAAATGTCTCGTTACGTGATTTTGTCATTGTATGAACATCATAAAGTGCACTTACACAAACCTAAATGGTATAGCCTGTCGCACACCTAGGCTACATGATATGGCCCATTGCTCCTGAGTTACACGACTGTACAGCATGTTACTGTACTGAATACTGTAGACAGTTGTAACACAATAGATATGTAAAGTATTTATGTATCTAAACATATCAAAACATAGAAAAGGTACAGTAAAAATGCAGTGTGATAGTCTTTTTGGACAACCATCATACATGAGGGTGCTCTGTTGTTGATCAAATTATCATTATGTGGTGCGTGATTATAATTTCTTCAAGGTCACAGCCTTAGATAGTTTGCATAGCTGGGACTCAAATACAAGTCTTCTAATTTCAGATCTTGTAAAAATAATGCTGGGTTTCAAAGAGAAGTGTTAAAGTTTATTCCTTAATTTTTCAGAAATTATATCAGTAGAAAATTTAGGACCCCTTGGAACTTTCTAAATATTTCTACAACATATTCCTGTTTTTATTTTCTTCATTATTTCCTACATTTAGCAACTAAGTCGAATGTGACTTTAGGACACACTCTGGGCAATGTGTTTTACCATTTACCATAATTTTGTGTTATGTCATATCTACTTTTCTTGTAAGCTATCAAAATTTTAATTTTGCTTCTATTCAAGTTTCCTCCAAATTTTTTCATTTGCATCCAAATGAAAATACAGTTTTGTTTAGAATTACTGCTTTTGATTGTTAGATACATATTTTGATATAATGTATGCTAATAATTATAAATTAATTCTTTCTGAGGTTGAGTAATGCAGTTCAGGATTTTTACTTTGAAAGCCTTGTGGGGATTAGGTTCAAAATTTTATAGGTAGAATATATTGAATATGTGTTGAAATTTGCATTAATGGTGGAACTTGTCTTTTAAATGTTTCATTTGTGAAATAATTTCTTACACTTGGAGAACAAAGGTGAAGGAATACAGAAGTATGAACAAGACATTTAAAGTGTGTTGTGTGCTATGACTGAGAAGTTTTAATTAACTTTTTTTTTTTTTTTTTTAAATTTTTAACCCTGGGCTGGTACTACAGTTAGCTTCTCAGGGTCCCTTACATACTGTGCTTTCTTTCTCTTTTACATGCTCCTTCAATCTCTTATTCCAATTCTCTGTAGGAATGATGTGTAAATTTGATGTCTCCTTGGTATTATGATAACTTTTTTTTTTTTGTAAACAGGGAATATGCTTGTAACTTCAACTTTTCCTTTAAGCTAAATCTTAGTTATGGGCTATCCGGAAAGACTTCTTTAAAAAAAAATGGGAGTTGATATTATCTTCATTTTACTTAACTCATCTAATTAATGAAATAAGTTAAATTTTGCCTATATGAATTATATTAAGTAGTTTAATTGGTTAATCAATGTGCTCTGTGTGTGCATGTGCATGTGCGTGTGTGTGTGTCTGTCTCTGTGCGGCGTGAGGTGATGGTTTTCCAGGTAAGTAAAATAGCCAAATGTTGAGTAAGCAAAAACTTTGAAACCCAATTTTATGTCTTAGTACCTTGAATAATTACTCGAAATTCCCAGCCAGCATCTAGTATTCTTTTTAAATTATTTAATAAAATTTGTCTTGTTCTGCCTAATTTTTTTTTCCTTCTTAGGGACATAGTTCTCAAACTACTTCAGTATGAGGCATCAACAAATGTGGCAGACAACAAAGGATATTTTCCTATTCATCTGGCTGCCTGGAAAGGAGATGTGGAAATTGTGAAGATTCTTATTCATCATGGACCATCACATTCCAGGGTCAATGAACAGGTGCATTTGCCAAATGTTTGCTTGTGCTATAATTTTCTAGTTTTACAAAGGCAAAGCCGTATTGAAAATGTGATTATTGTTATCTTTACCCTGCCAAAGGCCTTTCCACTACTGAATTTCCTGAAGCAAAAATTTGAAAAATTCTTTGGTGTTTGGATATGATGTGCAGGAACTAAGTTGGGCATTTGTAAAGATATTTTGTTAACGAGAAAATCCCACGTAAAGGAAGTAATTGTAATATTTTTGCCTGTCTTATGTAACCATCCACTTTATTATAGCCATTGAATATTTAAAGATAGAACAGAATTCATGTTTATAATGAGAATTAGAATGTTTCTTAATACAATTTTAAATTCTAAAACAATGATATGCCTATCATTTGCATAATGCTTTACCATTTACTTAGCACTTTCATGATTAAGTACTCTGGTGAATCAAAATGCGAAATACAGCATATACAGTTGCTTGTCACATATCGTTAAAAATTTATATATGTATGTGTACACACACAAACACATATGCTCAGAATAAGTTGAATAAAACACACCAGCAGTATGATTCTGTCATATAATGTATCTGTAAGTACACAATATCTGTATTACACATAATAGACATATTTTAAAAATAATGCCATTGTCAGTATTCTAAACAGATAAGAACACAGATTCCAGAAAGTAAAATATGGTCCCCTAATACAGTATGATAACAAACATCTTGAGCTCTGCATGCCCCCTACTGTTCCCATTTTGTAAAACTATATTTGAAAACCAGCAGGCAGTCTAACAATTGAATTATAGTCACGGCATTAAGCTGCAGGTTGGCAGTTGTCCAATATCAATGCAAGTAGGTTACTTTAGGGCAAGCGTATCTAATAAAGCACAATTAGCATATTGTTCAAATGGATGCAGACTTTGCCGGATTTTGACTGAAATTCAGACTGAAGCATAAAAAGTAACAATCGCTGTAAACAGCAAAGTCAAGAAAAACACATATTTTTTCAAGGAAAATATATATGCAGCTGCTGAAAGGACTAATTAGAAAATAATTTTATTAATCTGAAAAGTATCATTAATATTTGTCACAATAAAAATTTCCATGTTTACAGGTTACAAAAATGCAGGATTTTTAATAAAAATGCACCCAGTCTTTAAAACATGACAGACATGGCTATCTTTATCATCATCTCATGCTAAAGGGAAATTTATGTCAGTGCTCTTCCCCAGAAAACCAAAAGTTAGATCATTTATGTGATGAGCCATCTGGTGGTTATTCTTAAAATTGTCTGAATGCCGCAAAGCAAACCTGAAACAATAAAATGGAAAAACAATCCAAGGTTAAACAAGAGGATGTTAGTTTTTACAAACAAAATGTTTTTAAATGACATGAAAATACGAAATAACATATAATATTCATTTACATTTGAATGTGAAAAGTTATGGTATGTTTTAAAGAGAAATACTTGTTTTTGGTAATGTTGAACAGATCAATTAAATTACAAAAAAGTGCCTTTTTAAGGAGACTGTATTCAGAGTTCTTTGTTCACCTCTATTGCTTTGTGTGTGGTTTCTATTGGCAACAAGTTGAAACTTCCTTATGATTTTTATACCATAATTTCAGTATTTTTGTTTGTTTTATATATATATATATATATATATATATATATATATATATACACACACATTCTTTTTTAGTGCTAACCATAGTTTTCCCATTCTATGCCATTTCTCTTAAATTTTTTGATGTGGGATTTTTATTTTTATAGATAATTTTTAACGTTAGCTTTTTTTTCTTCTGAATAGGACAGAACTTCTCATTAATTATAAACTCTTATGTATTTAAGGAAAGAAAAATGGTAATTAACTTTTATTGAGACATAAGGTAAAGTAGGCACTGTTCTAAACACTTCCACCTGTCAAATGTTATGTAATTCTCACGATAATCCTCTGAATTGATATTGTCACTTCCATTTTATAGTTGAGAAATCATGCTCCATAAAACTAACAACTTGTTGAAGGCCACATGTTACTGAGTGAATGAAACTGAGACTGGGACTCAGGATGCTGACTCCAGAGCCCTTTACACAAAGCACATTGGTATTGTCATCCTAAATCCGATCATTTAATGGATTGTTTACTGTATGCCAGGCATTGTGCAAAATACTTCATCTGTGTTATCTTACTAACCTCTAGATTATTATTGCTACTTTATATATGGAGTTACAGCCTTAGAGAGAGAAAGTAAATTGACCGTAACATCACAGCTACTAAGAAATGCAGCCAGTATTCGAACGCAGGTTTTTCTGATCCAAAGCCTAAGCTCTCAACCAGTAATACATTATGTTATGTTAAAATTATGCATTATAGTCAAGGCTTCATTCTGATTTCTGAAAGTTATCTTTGGTTTCTAATATAGCTTTCTTTAAAAATATTTATATTCTACATTATAATATTTAAAGTTTACAAAGCATTTAAAAATGTTATCTCTTTTTGTTTATAAACTACATTATAAGGTTTATAGGGAAAATAATATTCCCATTGTACAGATAAGATAGGTTTGGCGAGATCAAGTAATTTGCATGCTAACACTTCTACCTAGGTCTTGTGCATCATTCTAAACAAAGTGGAGTCCACCCTGATTATTTTTTGAATTTAAATTTCCTTTAAATTAAAAATTTTCAGTTTCTTTAAATTTCATGAATCTTTCCCTTCTTTCACCTTCTCTTCCTTTTTATTTTATTTTAACATTAGGGCAAAACCCACAGGGGCCTTATCTCAAAAATACATTGCCTTGGCATTCGCCAAAACTTGAATCCAACTCTTGTTAGATGTTTTACACTGAAGCAAGATCTTTTGGTAAATGGCTTTTGTCAGCTAGTTTTGTTCTGGAAGCGTCCCAATATTTCTGAGAATGCCCATTTGGTAAAAAAGAAGGAATTAAAAACCTTTTAAGAATACTCTGTGTAGAGATACTAGTAATTATTAATCAGTACTTCTTCACAGCCTATTTATTTCAAATTATATGCTTTTTAGATCACTTGTAAGCATACACAATTACACAATCATGCTTTTGTAAAAGTAACACCATTGTCGTGGCCACTGGGGTGACAATTTAAGTATGTGTTGATCATGGATAAAATCTGTGAACATTTCCTCTGAGTAGGTTTTGAATGATTGAAATAATTTCCCTTGGGATCTGAACAGTGCTAATTGGGGTTATTAAAAATTTTTAATTTTGCTCTTATAATTTCTTAGGCTCAGGGTTCTGTAACAGTAGAGAGGCCTTTGAGGAATCATTATTTCATAATTGGCCTTTCTCTTTTCTCAAAGAGATTCTGTATTTTGAAAAATAAGGTTGAATCTTTTTCAGACCAAGGGGAAATTTGGGTTGGTCCAAAGGTATATATCTATATCATATTTTCATGGTATAAAGTAATAAGATTGGCTGTTTTATAAGCCTGTTAAGAAAGACAGATAAGAAGACAAAGGAGTCTAAACCTGTACATGATCAGTGTTTATGAAGTAGTTTATAGTAATACTTTCAAACCAAGTAAAGAATGACTCCCAACAAATAATGGAAGAAACAGTACCCTCAGCTGGATTCCCCATCTAATAGGTCTTAACTTTTCATTGATTATCTTTAAAGAATAGATTTCCCTTCTGGGTTTGACCTTCAAATGCTTTCACTTAATATTTATAAGAACCCTTTCCTACTGCTATTTTCCCCTTGTCATTCTACTCCTTTTTAAATTTTCAAATCTTCCCCCTGGACTCTCAATTTACTTGCATTCTTCTATCATCCAGGCCAAGCTTGAGTTACTTTCTGGAATATTAAGATTTGTTTGGGTCTGAACCCTCCTTTTCCTTTTGTTTTAGTCAGAACAGCTATCTAAACAGCTACTTCCTATTCTCGGTTGGTGTTTTTCTGAGCAAAATCTCTAGAAATTCTACTTTCAGATCACTAATTCCCAGTTCGTCTTTGGCAATATAGCAACACATGGCAGACAACGTGGTATAGTGGAAAGAGCATGGGTTTTGGATTTTGTCAGATACAGCTGCAAAGTATCTTAATTCTGCTTGGACATGTAATTTAACCTTTTTGTATTTTTGTTTTCTTGTCCATGAAGTAGACAATTTTAATAAAATTTTGGAGAATTGTTGTAAGAGTTAAATGAGACAATATATATACTTTTTAGGCACTCAAAAAATAGTAGTAGTAATAGTTCTTATTTTGGAAGGTGGTATGTGTGATGGTTAAAAACACCAACTTTGGGTCTTGGCTACTTGCATTGAAATCCTGGTCCTATCATAAATGGCTGTATAACAGAAGTCCAGTTATTCAACTACTCAGTGCCTCAGTTTCCTCATCTGTAAAATGGTATCTATTTCATAATGAGGATTAAATGAGTAAACATATATAAAATGCAACTATGTGTAGTACATAATGTTAGCTATGATGATGGTGGCAGCTGCTCTTTCTTTCCAGAACCCTCATTTAGGGTCATTGCATTTTTGTTATTAAAATTTCTTGTTCATTTTTCTCCTGACCCTTCCACCACCGGACATACCTATACACCATTTGTCTATATTGCACAAATAGTCTGAAGGGTCCATCTGCCTCACAACTGGGTTCTCTTTAATGTATCTTAACATTTTTAAAAGTCTTGATAAATTTTTAGGAAAATCTCATTGATTTTCAACTGAAACACTTATAAACTGAATATGTAGTACTGTGATACTCCTAGTAACTTGTCTGGAAATTGATCTAGGTCCAGCCTCACAATCCATGATTATGTTTCAAAAAGATACTTTTATATCCTAGAGCTAAAATATTTTCATTTTCTTTACAGAAAAAGCAATGATTTGTACTTATATGGAAAATAAAATGAAACTTAACTTGGGAAACCTTTCTATAAATCTTTTGTTACCAAGAATTTACCTTCTCATCTATCTTTTGGAAGGCTAGTCTATTAAAAGTCTGTTATAATTGTTATTGATCTCTCTCATTAATAAATGTCTAAAGATGTGATGCACAGTACAGATTTCACTGTCTATCTGGACCCAGCAGGGCCTATGACAAGCATGGCTAAATCATTTATCATTTTTGTAAGTTGGCATATATGATATAGGGAAATGTTGGATTTTTTTCTATTAAAGTGATAGAAATAAATATTTTTGATTCAATGAATCCTAGATACTTTTATCAAATATAAAATTTCATTAGGCATACCTGTTAAAATGGATAAATCTTAACTTATGTTTTCAAAGCATTGCAGGTTTTAAATTACTGTGTTAATATTTTGATAACTAATTGAATTTCTGAAAATGTGCCTTTTGAAAAATCTTTGTTTTAAACAGAACAATGAAAATGAAACTGCCCTACACTGTGCAGCTCAATATGGACACTCAGAAGTAGTTGCTGTTCTCCTAGAAGAGCTCACTGACCCGACAATTAGAAATAGCAAGCTGGAAACACCTTTGGACTTGGCGGCACTCTACGGACGGCTTAGAGTGGTAAAAATGATCATCAGTGCACATCCTAACTTAATGAGCTGCAACACTCGCAAGCACACGCCACTTCACCTTGCTGCGCGCAATGGCCACAAAGCAGTCGTGCAGGTGCTGCTGGAGGCAGGAATGGATGTGAGCTGTCAAGTGAGTCTGCTTTTAGCTACACTTTGAAAGTGATGATACTGTTGCTTGGCTTTGGGATTCACATGTGAAAACCTGTATGTAGAAATCTTTTAATCAAATTGTTCACAAGTATTTTTGTAACTACTAAATTCAAGGTACTCTACCATCTGCTTTGGGGAAATATGAAGAGCTACAAGGCATAATCTCTAACCTTATTCTAATTTGAGGTCTGTACACATAAGAAGTTAGTAGATGGCAGTTGTGTGTGGTATCATTAGTAATTGTTTCCTTTCTCCCAGTATCTAGCACACAGCCTAACATACATTAGGAATCCAGTCAAAGTTTAATTAATGAATGGAACAAAATTCACTTTAACATTGTTGAATATGTATTTTTTGCTTAGCATGTTAACATATTTAGAATTCAATTCTCACAGCTGTCCTGTGGGATTGAGAGCTATTAAGTTTCAGTTAAGAGATGAAGAATCAGATTCAAAGACTTAAGAAATTTGCCTGAGGACACATGGTTGATAAAACCAGAATGTGAATTTAGACTTACTGATTAAAGTGTATGTCTCTTTCCACAGTAATGTACTGTCTATGCATAACTAATGAAGGAATGATCACTATGCCTAAAGGCAATTGGAAAAAAAAATTGAAAAGGTGTGATTTGAGGTGAGCTTTGGAGGAAGAATAGCATTTGGATAGGTTTTGTTTCTCCCCAAGAAATGGGCAACCTACTTTAAAAAGCTTAATTTAATTTAATATATTTTATTATTATTTTTGAGGCAGCCTTTCTCTGTTGCCCAAGCTAGAGTACAGTGGTGGGTGGCATGATCTCAGCTCACTGCAGCCTCCACTTCCTGGGCTCAGGTGATCCTTCTGCCTCAGCCTCTCTAGTAGCTGGTGGAACTGCAGGTATACACCACCATGCCCCACTAAGTTTTGCATTTTTTGTAGAGATGAGGTCTGCTCTGTTGCCCAGGCTGGTCTTGAACTCCTGGGCTCAAGCAGTCCTTCCACCTTGGCAGCCCCAAGTGCAGGGATTATAGGCATGGGCTACTGGGCCTGACCACAAACTACTTTTAGTGTCCTAAGTTAGCCCCAACTCCAGGGTTAGTCTTTTTTTTTTTTTTTTTTTTTTTTTAACCATTTTCTCCTTTCATGGTTATTTCTTGGCTTCCAAGTTGATGTCAGCATTCTTATCTTCCAGAGACTTTTTTCTTTCTGTTATATTGTGACCTTCCCCCTTATTAGTAAGCCATTGCTGTGAAACAAACTATCCCAAAACTTAGTGGCTTAACACAATAACTCTATTTATCTCCTAATTCTGTGATTGGCAATTTAGTTTAAGCTCAACTAATGGTTCTTCTGGTCTTGGCTGGGTTCTCTCATGTGTGGGATCAACTGCAAGTCAATTATGTGTTTCTGTTTCAGAGGCTGGCTGGATGTTGTCTAGGGAATCCAGTCAAAGTTTAGGTGATAGGTGAGACTGCCACTTGTCTGTCATGATTCAGCAGGTCAGCCTGGGCTCATTCACATTGCATGCATGGTTTTGAGAGAGAGAACAGAATTGTACAAGGCTTCTTGAGGCCTAGGCTTGGAACAATCACACCTTCACTTCTGCTATGTTTGCTTGGTTGAAACAAGTCATAAAGGCAACCCATATTCAAGGAGTGGGAAAATAGAGTCTACCTCTGAATTAGAAGAGGGTGTGAATTGTTTGGCAAATTTTACAAATAATTTACACACTCCGGGTGGAATGTGTGCTCAAAGATGGGGCTATTTTTCCTAGGAATTGTTCAGAGATTGAATTCTGTATTTCCAGAGTTTTCTTTATTGAATTTAGAAAAATCTCAGGCCTTCCAATCTCAGATTTAAGGCTAGCACCCTGAACCAGAGTTTGCTTTAGAGCTTTGCCTGCATTATTTAGTAGTTTAGATATTTGTATTATCTTTTCTCAATTTCTTATTTACTCAACTTTGGCAGCCTCTCAAAAAAGCATAACAATTTTTCCTAACAGTCATATTAAGGAAAAACAGTCTTTCTTCTCAAAGGTATTGAAAATAAGTAGCTATGCTTACTGTTGTAGGTTATTTACTTAAAAGTTGTTTAATGATAAACTAGATGTTATTGTATAAATGTTGAATTTCTCTAATGTGGATGTACTGCTTTCATGACACTTCTGTAATATTTCTAAACTTGATTGCACAGACTGCATTATAACCAAGAACTTTCACTCTGACTGAGGTCAGTAAGCCTCTTGGTATCCCTGGCCAGGATCTTTTCATGTTTTGTACTAGAGGACATGACCAGAAGGGAAAGAGTTTAGATTCAGTTTTATAAATATATATGATGTGTGCTTTTTTTTCTGCAGAACACTGTATTTTATGCTTTTGGAGAATAAAAAATAAAAAATATATCTGCCCCACACTTAGTGGAGGAGACAAAAAATTTGCAAGAATAACTCCCATCCATGACACATAATAAATGCTAAAACAAAGAGCTGTGGATCTACAGGTGAGAATATGGACTTTAAGAGGGAGAACATGAGAAGTCATTGATGGAAATGACATTTGAAGAGGACATTTGAAAGTCCAACAGGACTTTGAATTTTAGGTGAAATTTAGCTTGCATCTGTGCATTATTTGGCTAAAGAGTATTTTAAAATATTTAATTTGAGTGCTTTTAGATGGTGTAAATGCTTTCCAAGGCTCCGACCTCATTCTACCATTTTAAATCATTGCCAGTGTCATTCCTTTAGATTTTCTGCTTGGTCTTCACTACATTTGGATTTGTTATTCATGTATCAGAGGAAAGGCAGACAATATATTTAGATCACTTTGAACACCTAATCAAAAGCATCAGGGGTGGTACCTGAGTAAGGTGGGCAACTTTTGTGTTGCTATAACCTCTTTCACTGACACTCACTCTAAGAGTTGAAGTAGAACTGACAATAGCTTTCTAAAATATTTCTCAATAAAATGAATATTCCATCATTTATTTAGCCTTAGTTGATATTTTGCTTTTCTTATTGTTGCTTTGTTCATAGAAGACATGTTTTTTTGGTCTCATTACCTTTTTTTTGGGGGGGGAGGGGGTGAATATTTAATTTTATTACTCAAATTAATTGTTACCAAGTTTTTCCCATCAGACTCAGTGCAAAATTTTTTAATATCAAGTAGGTGTTTGTTGATATTCTCACTGGCTGACAATGAACAATGCTAGCTAGTAACCTTAAATTGTTTTAGTAGCTTTACTATTCATTAAACTACTCTAGTTAACCTGTTGGGAATTAGCAGTATTAAAAGTAATTCCATTTGGTAAATTATAGTATTGTACTTTTAGACTACAATTACATTCAAGTTATTATGAATAAATCTTTAAAATTTATAGATAGCTTTTGAGGATCTTGTCTTTTCCTAGTAATTAGGTATGATTTGATTTTATTTTACTTTTTTTTTTTTTTTTTTAAAGACAGGGTCTTACTCTGCTACCCAGGCTGAAATACAGTGGTATGATCATGGCTCACTTCAGCCTAGACCTCCCAAGCTCAAGTGATCTTCCTGCTTCAGCTTCCTGAGTAGGTGGGACTCTAGGCATGTGTAGCCATGCTCAGCTAACTTTTTTTAGTTTTTATAGAGAAGGGGTTTCACTATGTTGCCCAGGTTGGTCTCAAACTCCTGGGCTCAAGTGATCCTCCTGTTTTGGCCTTCCAAAGTGCTGCCATTACAAGTGTGAGCCACTGCACCTGGCCTATGTATGTTTTTAAATCCAGCATTGATGTTGGTATTTGCTCTAGAAGTTTATTTTCTGCATCATTACTCTCTGAGTAATTTTAAATTATAACACATATTTAAAATAGTAGTAATGCTTTGGACAAATTTCATATCATATTTACTTATAAATCCTTTAGTCTTTAAATATTTATTAATAAAGAGAATCAGTCAAAGTAAGATATTAAGAAAGTAGTGATGAATGGGCAATTTTCCCTTGAAACTGACAATTATTTTTATAGATTTTGAACTTGATTTTGGGTAATCAGGTAGCGATAGTGCCATATCATGCTAGTACTTTCATTGTGTGTGTTTCTTATAAGTTTCTGAAATCAAAACCTGAAGAGTTAAATAACTAGTAAAACATTAAGCCAATTAGAGTTTATGTGAGTGTTAAAGGAAATGAAAATAAAATTACAGAAAGTTAATAATAAAGAGTACAAGTTTCCACGCTAAGAACTGTTAAGATGCAAAATTGAATCAGGTACAGTTTTTGCTCTCAAAGGCTTATAGAGGCACCAGAAATAAGATATGTGCATAAGTGATATATTATCCATTGTAATCTATTTACTCTCTGATTTCCCCAGATGATAATTTCATGACTTCTGTCTTCTCATAACTTCAACACCTCCTTCTTTATCATCTCTCTCTAATCATGATGCTGTTTTTATTTCACTGAGGAAATCACAAGCAATCACAAATTTCCACCACCATGTCTGCCAACGTACCTGTGTCTGCGTTCCTTCCTGGTGCTTTAAATGAACCTTTTAGATTTGTATATAAGGCTAATTCCTCTCTTCTTGTTTAATGGATCTTATCCTTTCTTGTCTACTTGGGATACATTGCTCTGACAAATATTTTCTGTTTTTAGTACCATACCGTTCCCATAAGGATGCAAAGATATAATATTTACCATCTGTTTTTTTTTTTTTTTTTTTTTTTTGAGATGAGGTTTCACTTTGTCACCCAGGCTGGAGTGCAGTGGTGTAATCTCGGCTCACTGCAATCTCTGCTTCCTGGGCTCAGGTGATTCTCCTGCCTCAGCCTTCCGAGTAGCTGGGACTACAAGCACACACCAGCATGCCTGGCTAATTTTTGTATTTTTTAGTAGAGACAGGGTTTCACCATGTTGGCCAGGATGGTCTTGATCTCTTGACTTTGTGATCCGTATGCCATGGCCTCCCAAAGTGCTGGAATTACAGGGGTGAGTCACCGCACCCAGCCAATATTTCCCGTATTTTAAAAA